CTGCTGATCAGGGACAGAATGGACACAAATGTGGACCCAAACACATGTGACACCTTTATCAAAGTACAAGCCGTTCTAAAATACTCCGCACTGCTACTGCAGGAAGCCAAAGCTGGGCAGATTATAACCGCCGTGATGGAGTGCATTCTGTACCAACTTGGAGCTGTCGTCAGATACCTAGGAATGGTCTTGGAACCGTATTTCACAGCTGCCAAGACTTTCATCAATTACAAGTGTGATCAAGAGAAAATTTTTGAGTTTTGCACATAGAATCCGTGTTCAATGATTACACCATGTTCGACACGACCCAGGGCACTGAGTTCGTTAGGTTCGACGTCACAATGATGAGGAACTTCAGTATCCCGGACTTTTTCATTGAGGTTTTTTAGCACTATTCATTAAACATGAAGGTGGAAGGATTTGGTACATTACGTACTCAAATGCTCTCGCCATAATGTTGCTTATAACATAACCCAGTATCTTTTCCCCAGGAACACAGTGATGCTATTAGGTGGGGACGACAGTGTAATCAATGGCCGCTTTACAGAGAGAGAATGGTTTGCCAAACATAAACATTACTTCACTCTTAAAGCAAAGACGGAATATGCGAAGAGACCAGAGTTTTGTGGTTGGGTGCTTAATGAATACCACGCATACAAAAATCCCACTCTAGCCATTCACAGACTATTATAAAATTGAATTTGTTAAATTTTTGTTTTTTAATTTTTTTTATATTAGTGCTGAAATTTTAAAGTTATATTTTTTAAAAATTAGAATGTCTCTAATAAAAGTTTAAAAAGGCTTCAAACTAATACAGTCTACCCTCGTTATAACGGATTCCGTTATAGCGGATACCTCGTTATAACGGAGCAATTCTCTAGAACAATTTAAAAATTTTATTACGCTATAGCAGACATTCATTATAACGGACAGAATTTCTCAGCCCGATCGCTACGTTATAACGAGGGTAGACTGTACATAGTTTAATAGATCTTTTCAAAAGCTATTTAAAAAAATATAGTTTTTTTGTAATTAAACTTTTAGATAAAAAGTTTTTGCAATTTTAAGTTTATAATAAAATATTTGATAGTTCGCACCATACATATATGGTTTGATTTACCGATTTGATGAACACCCTAGTCCCTATAAAAAAATCGATCCGTGTTTTATGTTCCGTGTTTTGTCCATAAATGTTGCATATTCACGGAATTTATAACCTCGAAAAGCACTCGCATTA